ATCAGGCAGATTAGTGAATTAGAACTCCCAGAAATCACTGGGAATAGCTCAGCCTAAGTGGAAATCAAAGAAGTTCTCTAGATTTCTTTCGAAACTAAAAAACAAAAAACAAACAAACAAAAAACCCCCCCTGCTTTACCTATTCATTCTCTTTTCATTCTCTAAAATAAAACATATCCATGAGTTTTATTATATTTATTCCATAGAAAAACTTGGTAGCTTTATATTAGAGGGCTTTATCACCAGTGGACTGGTGGACTTCTACGCCAGCATAATCAGATCACATAATATAGCATTATCTTTGGAAAAGATTATTTTTTGTGGGGAGAGGTAGTTTGGGGGAGCGGAGGGGAAAGTTGACAAGTCAAAGCATTTTAACAGATTGTACTCTACTGCCAAGACTAATGTCATGAAAGCATGATACAGAACTTTAGGAAACAAAACTTTCTTCTTTTACAGCTTTTCTACTGAGTTTGAAACCATTCATGGAAGCTGATGGCAGTGCTCTCGTAAGTACATCTGAAGTTACAGCAGAAATACTGAGTCATTGGATAAGTTGAAGGGAGTGTATGTTTGGGTTTGTGTCCTTGTGATCACTGAGGACAACATCAATATCCTAACAAGATCTTGCTTATGGGTTTGACCAAGTGGTGAGACTGTCACAGCCTGCCCCAGTTCTGCTCTCTGAGTGACATGAAATCTATTGTACGAGCCTGACTTCAGGGGTCCCATCGTTTCCAAGTCCTACCCTGCAGCGGAAGGGACAGCAACAACTTAGGACACAGAAGCTTAGTAAAGGGTTTTCTTAGCTACACGTTTTACTCTTGTGAAGCTGTAAAAAATGAACTGATGGCCTTTGCCTTCTCAGATTCGCGTGCTGGGAATCAAACTGCATGAGGTATGAAGTCTGGCCTTCAGTATTAGTGCACTGCCTCTGCTTTTGCTTGCATGAAAAATTTTTATTTCACCTAAAACAACCTCATACACCCTTTTTACCCTACTTATTTCTCTTGGGGAGTTTGCAGGCTGCAGCCCCTCAGTTTTTAGGCATGCATGTGCTTCTTCTGGCAGAAGCGTTCCCTGGGGGTAGCCCTTGTGCTTCCTGAAAACTTCCCAGAGAGGCCCTGCCCACCTGAGGCTGGTTTCCAGCTACAGGCCGAGTACTCCAGGCCACCCATTTGGAAGGGAGGCTGGAAATAGGTAGTGTCCATGCTGCATATTTGCAATTTGGAAATGAGAACTCTACACTGACAGAGGCCTCTCGCTGAAGATGTCTTCTCCAGTATGCTCTTGCTTATCTGTGGAGCCGGCCTGCCATATGAGTGGCTGCTAACAGCGCCGAGCCATACGCCTCCCTTTGCAACTGGCCTGTGGGTATATTTGTGGAGTGGAGGAGGACTGGACAGCAACTGTGCAGCCTGCATTTACATGCAGGATCACCATCCCATCCTGCTCAATCCCCCAGACCTTAGCAAACTGATATGTAAGCCAAAAACCTCCCAGCAAAAAGATAAAAACTACTCTGTGTTGCCAGTCCTGCACAAAAATTAGGACCCTAGCCTTCTAAAACTGGAAGTAACTTTAATGGTCTGCATTTGTTTTAGAGCTTTCTGAGCATTATTTTTCTCAGATTTTCCCTGGTAACAAGGAGAGCTAGAAATAGGTCTAACTTTTTCAGTTGAAGCTGTGATAATGAAATGAATTACTCGTGATCAGGAAATACAGACATATAGAAAAACATCCACCATTGTCAGAGGCTTGATAAAGTCACGACATTTGGTTCTGTTTCAGGTCACTCCAGTGACTAGGTCTAATAGTTACGGTATGTTAACTTCTGAAACTTCTGTTTCACCCCGATCAGTAGCACTGATTTTACTGGTGATAGCTCTGCATTCCGTAGTCAGTATTTTCTCATTGATCTGCACTGGTGTTAATATCTCCGATTACGAGTGAAACTTAAAAGTCTCTCTTAACTAATGTTCACCTAGGGTCATGAAATGAAAGATTCTTGACTCGCATAAGACATTTTTCAGAGGGGGAACATTTGATTTTTGAGGAAAGATTTGCAAATAGAAACTTTCTAAAGTTGTATATTCTTGAGGAAAACTGACCCCAAATCCTGCTGGTGAGGCATTATATGAATTTGGTGGTAGATTCATTTTAAAATAGATTTTCCATTGGGTTAAGATGAATAAGGTTTTATTGAAAATGATTTCTTTATTTTATAAAATACCTCTCTGACTACAAACACTGATGCTTAGGGAAAAGACATTGCTTGTGTTTCTTCAAAGATTGCCAACATTTGGGAAAGCAAGTCTGTCAATAGCACCAGATTTCTTAGTGTATTCCATTACTGCAGTCTGGAATTAGAGATTGCTCTTATGAAGAACAAACTGGATATTTTTTCTACGATGAGGATATGATTTTTTTTGTATGACTCTGAACAGCAATAAAATCATTAAAGTTGCTGAATTCCTAGTTTAGAAAAGAGCTCTCTATAATATTATACTTTTTGTTCTTCCCCTGATGGAGAGGCTCAAAGGCATATTTTTTGCTTCAGCTTTCTGGAATCCTGGAAATGAAAACCAGAAATGTAGCTTAATTCATGAGATCTCACTCAGCAATGACTTTATCACATATTTGTCACTGATTTTATCCAGGCAAACTAAATGCATTGCTGGCTTGGGGAGCTGCTCTTCCCGCATTAATTTCCCAACTTGTCCAGTGAAACGTGAAAAGATGGAGATCTATCAGCCCTGCTAACCTGCTGCAGGAAACAGTAATTGCTGCTGAATAATAAATGCACATTTATAATTTTCTTTTCTGCTACTTCAACTTCTTACTAAGTAATCAGTTTTCTCCTCAGGCTATATTTTAAAGCAGGCCCAAACTGATGATTTCTGTAATATGGATTTCAATTCTTCCTTGAGAGATGGGCCATAGACTATACTACCTTGATTTAGGTTATCAATAAAGTTAGTGGGAAGAACTGTTTCTTCCTCAGTTGTTTAGAGAGCCACATCCTGTCCCAGTATTGCTCTTACCACTGTACAATGTTGTTAGGTTGGGTAAAGATGATGAAGTGTCCCCACTGCAGTATCATGGCAAAGATGTAACATCACCCCACTATGTAGTTTCTGCGCAAGGAGAGTTGATTCACATTTGCGTTTCTTAATACCACCTTGGAAGCTCTAGACAAAAGTGATTAGCATGACAGCATGACAGCATGACCCATTGATTCATGACAGCTATATTTTCTTTCTGTGTGTCCCAAGTAAGGCATTACTTTCATTTGAATGAGGAAACAGAGAGTGGCCCGTATAGGATGGTTAAATATCAGACTCCAGTATAAGTGATCCGTTTTCTCGTTGCTTTTCTTTGTCTGTTGTCATGGAGAATAGTCTGAGAGAGACAGGCCATGATAAAATTAAAAAAGAAAAAAAAAAAGGGAGAGTGAGCAAAAGAATGAATACATGATGATTAAGCAGGAATCTGGGATTATTCATTCCTGGTAAAGCCTCCCACAAGTGTGCTATACAGGTCACCTCAAATAAGCACCAGATAAGCACAAGTCTTTGTGATATGCAGTTCTGCACTCTGATGCATGCTACAATGATAACTAGATAGAGAATGTTTAGCTATTGTAAATATTGATGATAGTGGTTTCTTTTATTATTGTTTCCAGATGGTGCAGCTTTATTCACCTTTAATTCACCTGCAAAAAGAGCCATCAAATCCTTCAAAATATTATTAAATAAGTTTATATTTTTCTTCAAAGCTGGTTGCTTAGGTAGAGAAAATACATTAGGGATGTTCATAATGTAGCTCTGCAGTGGATCAGGTAGCTACCAGCTTTGCAGAGCAACGTTGTGACCAAGCACATTAAATTATAAGTCCTCTATATCCAGCATTTGTCATCCAGAGGTCTCAAAATCTTCCTAAAAATAAAAAAGGTAAATGATACTGTTCCCATGCCAGAGATGGAGAGGCTGAGGCAAGGAAGGTAGAGTATTTGGTACACAATCACGCAACCAGCCAGCCTGGCTAGGGGGAGATTAGTTTAAAACCCAGACTTTATGTATCTAATGCTCTCTTTTTTGGTCCCCGATCTCCTGTTTTAGTTTCATTTTCTATGCATTTATGTGGGATGAAATATTTTCTATGTACACTGCAAATGAGTAAATATAATTCAAATATGTTATTTTTACACTGATTAAAATTCATATATATATAGCATGGCAAACTTCTCATATATTTATGTATTACTGTTAGGACAATCTGCCAAGTTTGTGCTTTTTTTGGTTACTTTTCTTTTACAAATGTTACGAAACTCTTACTCATGTAGGGGGAAATATACTGTCTACACTAATTTGAAAACAAGTGGAAAATGCAATTTGTTTCCTTTTTTTAAGAAGTGCTTAGGAGGTCTAAAGGACAATAAAACATCTGACATGTACTTTTATTCTTTTTATTGTTTGTAATTCTCCCTCCTGGAGTGCAATGAAAATTAAAATATTGGAGTCCTAACTTTTTATTTTTTAACTTCTAAACACAGAATACGATTCAGGCAAACACAGAGTAGAAGCTGCCTGTGGGTGTGAAACAGGAAGCACCAGTGGGTAGGCATATGTATAACAGAGTTACGTTTGCTCTTGTTCAACTACATCTACATCAATTTTAATTAACACATTTTATGCTTCAGCTACTAACGTCCTTTCAGCTGTGAGTAGGTTATGCGATTCCATCCTGCATATACCACCAGCATCACCACCACATCCTTCTCTAGCTTTCCCCTCCCCTTTCTATACAAATGTTGCAACACAATCTGAAATTTCCTCTTTTCTTTCCTTCCTGCATTTCTTACAGGTTCCCTTGCGTCAGAAGACAAAAAAGAAAAGTCAAGGTAATGAGTGATTTTTTTTTTTTCTTTTCTCTTCTGGGTTCCTCTTTTGTTATTTTCTTAGTGTGCCTTGTTCTTGGGAGGGTGAGGATTTTATACTGCTGCTTAGCTGGTGGAAGATTGCTTTTTAACTCCACTGATTTTTGCACTAATTCTGAAAAAAATGACAACGTGCTGTTCCTTTGGACTAAATCCTTGTGGTATGTTAATTGATTCAAAGCTCGAAATCAATGAAAAGCTGGAAATCAGTGAAGCAGAATCAGGTACAGGCACATACACACACACGTTAGCGGTTTGCATGTACTTGGCATAATAGTTTTCTCTAGCTGTGTCTTAAATAGATGTACTGTTTTTTCAGTGCAGCTGTGTGAAGGGCAGTGTATGCATGCTTCTCTTAAAAGGATCAAAAGATATATTTTTAATTTACAAAAAGTCATATCATCTCTATGCATGGTTATCTTATCATTAATTAGTATCTGCATTATCTATAGCTTACTTTTGTTTTTATGCATCAGAACGCCTTCTCAAATGAAAGTGTATTTACAGCATTATAAAACTGAATGACTTCTAAACATATTTTAAGATATGCCTAGCTGACTTAAGATCACTAGCTAAGGCTGATATCTTTAATTGGCAATAAAATCTTTTCTGGTAATGTACTTTTAAACAAGTGGAACACTATTTTAAATGGCACAGGGTTCTTTATAATGAGCCGACGGAGGATATCGTGTAAAGAGCTCGGGCAAGCCGATTGCCAAGGATGGCTCTACAAAAAGAAGGAAAAAGGAGCTTTCATTGGCAACAAATGGAAAAAGTTCTGGTGTGTGCTGAAGGAGTCATCGCTGTATTGGTACAGCAGTCAGCTGGTGAGTACAGTGTCCATCCAGCTCTGGGTGGCTGATTACACAGGATATGCTGGCACAGAGAAGAGAGGAGTTGGGGGTACAGTTTAAACATACCCTAGAGTCGTACAACGACTGGGTTTATTTTTCAGCCCTGACATTTCATGTGATCTGAGAACTGTCTATGTGAATGTGAAACATGCAGAAAACTGTGTTTTCTAGTTCAGTAAGTACTTGTGAAATGTTAACTTCTTGTCTGTTCTGCTGTTTGAAGAGCTTCTCTTTTCAGGCATTTAAAGCATTCAGTTCAGAGCATTTCAAATGCTCTGCTGGCATTTGAATTTGGGAAAGGTTTTCCTGGGTTCGGCCGTTTACAGAAACTTGCTGTCAAGATTCAAAATAGGAATACTTCTTCACTTCTAATTCACTTAATTTTAAGAATTCTCTCTCCTCCCAAGCCTTCCACCTTCAGCTTCATCTGTTTTTTTTTAATTTAAATTTTATTTATTTATTTATTTATTTTTACAGTTTGAACTGATTGGGTTGCAGGTATGAACACTGCAGTTTTGGCAGTTTGTGATTATTTTACTCTTGATCTTACTGATGTCTCCTCCAGAGCATTGTGATTAAAGGTTCTTGCATTCTGCTGATTTTTAACTTCCTGCTCTTATGAATCGGTGCTGAAAGTCAAATCTGCAGCAGAACACTGTTTTCAATTCAGGGTCTAGCTTTCTGTTCAGAAGACAAGCTTTTCCCAGGACAGCTGGTATACATAACCAGGAGGGTTGGACTAGATGATCTCCAGAGGTCCCTTCCAACCTCAACCGTTCTGTGATTCTGTGACCTTTCTCTTCTTGCCAGTCCAGTGCAGACAGCTTCCTCCACTTAATGTGTGAGTGGGAAATAGTCCGAGACAAAGAGCAGCAGTCCCTGAATTTCTGTAATTAGCTGAAGAAACTAGGAATTAAGAACCAAAAAGGGGAAAAAAAGTGTGATGTGGTAAGAAAGCAGAAATGGAATTCAGGGTAACTCTTTAATCCCCTTTCCAGATGACTGTCTCTGCCGCTGACGACCCACACTCAGGCTGTCATCTAGGGCACTCTGCAGATGTTCTGCTTGGATTTTTAGTGAAAGGTTATGGCTGAGTGCAAAGTAACAGTGGGTCCTAAGGAACAGCTGAATGCGTTCCAGGCTGTTTGCTATGGCTCTGTTTGATGGGGCAGAGAGGGTGTCTTGCACGTGCTAGGAAGATTCAGACATAATTATTCACTTCCCTCGCTTGCACTGCTACATCCCAATAATCTAACAAAAGCTCCTATCATATTTTAGTGATGGATTGACACAGCTCGGAACTGGGGATTTCAGAGGATTAGAGGATGCTAACAACTGGCAGCTTCAGTGTGGAATTGTGAATGGTTATCTGGTTTTCTAAATGCAATAGGCTACTTTGGATATCAGAGTGTCCCAGGCCCAGCTCAGAAAGAAAGATTAATGAAACTTCTATTCACTCTTCCAACTTTTTAACAAGTTAAATGGAATCTGGATTTTTTCCACTGGTTTATTTCTATTGCAATAATCTCCATAAAATGTCTTACTAGCTTTTTCATTCAAATAAAATAGTTAAAACCATAAATAATATGAAATAAAACTCGTCATGTAGGAAGTATACCCTATTTTCTTTTCAGTTGTGGCTAGTTTCTTTTTAACAAGATAAAAAACTTTAACTGACTTTTCTTAGATGGTATTTAAAGACAGTACTGTTCTTTGGGGGGAAAAGTGAAAATATTAACTCTGCTGGTCTTGGGCTGGTTTTTTTTTTTATGGGGTTTTGGTAGTCTGGTGAAGCTTCCTATCAAGACCAAGTCAAATACACACATGAAGAGAAAGAAAAGGAGGGGAAAAAGGCTTATTTTTCCAATGCTTGCAATATTTCTGCTTAAAAGAAGTGGACTGTCAGATACTTGTCAGTCACACTAATACCTTGCAAACTTGTATTAGCCCTTGCTGTTTTAATTCATTGCTTGCAGTTGTCCACCTGGCCAAGCAGTGTTATGAAAGGTGAGCTAGTTGGCTAATCAGGTCTTTTATAGATGGAAAGTGTTGGAAAGAAATTGTTCTGAGGAGTAATCAGGCTAGGAAAAAAAATAAAACGAGGCAAGATTAGGCAAATTTTGCATTAGAGGAGAAGGCTGGGAGCAGGGGGATGTGCAAAGTCATCTGCTTCCCTTGCTTGTTGTGGTCTGGCTACATTCCTCCCTCAAGATCCAGAGAAGTCCCCGTCACGGCAGGTCCCAGCGCCTCTAGACAGCATTCGCCAGTCAGGTGAACTCATCCTTTTGGTCCATACCTGCCCTCCTGTTGTCCTTGAATACCCAAAGATAAACAGGGTTGAAGAATGGGCAGCAGCCTCATTCCGATTTATTTCATACACTCAGCATTAAAGAGCTCATCCAACGTCGAGATACTTTTGGCTTGTGTCAGCCTCTGACTTTACACCTATCACAGTACTTCTTTTTAAACAAACTAGCTGGTAGCACTTTTTGGCTTTCAACTTCTGCTGACTCTTGCACACAATTTTATGTAACAAAACTGAAGTTTCTTTGGACAACTCAAAGTGCAGCCTCTGCATAAACCTAGATTCATGCAATGTTTGCAGAATCGCAGTAACTATGGGGTGCTGAAAAAAGGAGAGGCGTTCTTTGTTAGGATATGCTCACTTAAACTGATTAGACCAGAACCATGTTTAGTACAGCTTGTGGTGTACATTTGAGGTGAATTTGACCTACTGAATTTTTCACCAATGTTTTCATCTCCAGATTTATGAAGCAAAAATAGCAGTGATATATTCACTGGCTTGCCTGATACTTGTTTGTACTTCTATATAAGCCTGGTTTTAACACTGTCTGCAGTTCCATTGCCTTCAGAGGAGGAGTCCTGTAACAGGCCCTCTTAGATACCGAAGTGAAGGTTCGTGGTGGAGGACTTGGGCTGACGTCAAATGAACGTATCAAGCCAGGTTACACTGACTACTTGTAGATCGGTCTGACCAGTTTCGTCATTGTAAGAAACAAGAATGTTTTGTTAATCACTGTGTAGAAACTGCAGTCAGCCAGACACTGGCAACTGTAGCATAGCAACAGCAGGGTGCTGGACCTAACCTTTTTTTCTAATGGAGCTGGAGGAAAATAAGAAGTGGGTGGAATTTGTAAATGAATGTCCGTTATTCCATATTTGGGTAGGTAACCTCAAATGACATCATGGTCTTGATGAAGTGTGTCTTAAGGCCTTCCAAGCTCTGGAAGTTTCTGTTGCTCTGATTTAATTTGCCTTCGGATCGCTCCAGTTCTGGATCTTTCACACCAGGCAGATTGGAGGAAGCAATATAGGACGCTTCTGGTGACGTTTACAGACAATGATTCCTTCAACTTAACATAAAATACTTTGTGAAAAAAATAATGAAATGCTGAGAAGGATCGGTAATAGCAGGTGAGGCGATTTGAGAGTCAAGCTTCTCATATACTGAAAGCAAACCAGGACACACAGGTCAAACCAGAAGAGCTTTAAAGTAGCTAGCTGAGGTATTGAGAGTAGTGAAGTTGGGCTCAAGTCTCAGTAGGCTTGAAACTTTTCTCCATGTCCACTTGCCCTTCCTGTAAAACATAGCTATGTTTACAAATGAGACAGGGGAAGTTTTCTTTGAAACATAGATATACCCCCAGTCTGAGGAACGGAAACTTTTGGGCACAAAAACTTTTAGGAAATACATTTGAGCAGACAGAATTTTTGGGGTGCATTCAGGAACACTAGACTCCTTGGAGAATGGCTCTTTGTTAGTGTCTGGTTTCCTCTTTTTAGTACTGTTCTATATAGAGAGCTGTCTTGAAAACAAGCATTTAAAGAGGACACTGATGCTGGACCATTCATACTGAAACCCTTGAAAGAATCGGTACTTCTGCATGCGAAGAAGGGTGGAGGGGGAAGATCAGCCTGTATAACACTGAACTCCCCTCTCATTTCATGCGTGCTGTGAATATGTGAATAGTGTTGGCTGGAAAGGGGCAGAGCACTACTCTGTTCTGACCTGTGGGTCTTTACTTTTTTGTCAGATAACTTGGCTGTCTTTTCCCAGTACAGTTGGAATCCTATAGTTTTGCAGGAGATGTGAATGATGGTTGTCATGGGGATTCAGCTAAAAAGAAATATAAAATTAAACGGATGCAGACTGTGATCTGCTGCCATTATTTATCTTTTTTTTTCCTTTTTTTCATTTACTGTATTTAAATTGTGTTCCTCACTCCATCCCCTTTGCTAGAAACTGTATGATAATTGCAGTCTTTTAGAAGAGAAACCTTTCACCTTTGAGTTTAGTAACTGGCTACAGGAGTGGTAAGAAGTCACTGATGTCTGCTGACTTTGCTAAGGGCTTCGGGGACCTGTGGTCCAATGTGTTACACAAATTACCCACAGTTTTATGGATTGCCTCACTAGTGTACTTGTCAGAGAGAAAAAAGACTAAATAGGCTTGAGGACTGAACTGCTCTTCCAACATTCGCATGGTCTTCTCTGGACAGGGCTTAAACAGTGTGATAAAACCATCAGGAAAAATTTGAATTGCAGATTGGAGCTGTTCCACAGTATCTGGAGATTTTCACTTTATAGTGCTAATTTTTAATCTTTCTGCATCATTACAGTCACTTTAAATATTGAAAAAGGACTATCAAATGATTTAATAAAACTCATAAAGCCACTAAATTTATACAATGTATTGAGGCAAGCTAAAAAAAAAAAAAGCTTTTTTTTTTTAATGTGAAAAAACCTTTTGTCAAAAAGTAGTTAGTTTCCTTTTGCCCAAAGTATTTGCAGAGACAGTTGCTACTATTGAAGTTATTTTCTTACAGTTGGGCAAAGTAAAAAGTGCAGATTTATATGTTAGGCTAACCTGCATAAAAACCACAAGATATAACATTTTATTCGTTTAAACATTATGACTAAATAGGAAGCAGTTCAAAGTTCTTTTAATCTATGTTTTTAGGGCTATTTTACGACATCGCAATGAAACCTGAAGGAAGCTTGACTGAAATGTGTGAGCTAATATTATAATAGTGTATTTAACATTACCTTAAAGATAACATTTCAGAGAAAAGAAAATATTTAGGACTTCTATACACTTTCAATGTCTTAAAATGCCATTTTTACCTCAAGAATGACTGTGAACATGACTTCCACATGTTCTGTTTGCAGTGTTTATTTTGGTATTCCACTTATTGACCGCATGACACTTATAAGGTTTTACTGTTATGCTTCTGTTTCCTTTTTTTTCCTCCTTCCTTTTGTCTAATCATTAGGGAACTACATATCCACCAAAACCCTGCTTTCTGTTATATAGATAGCACATCCGGGGTGTGTACCAACAGTACATTTTTTTGAAAAAAGGAGGTGTTGTTCCTAAAATTCACACCATTAAGCTCCCTCCTTTCATTCATATATAAAAAGAAACATTAAACTTTACTTATAGATGAACAAACAGGAGGGAGACATCACTAACATAATTAATATAAAGCTTGAGAGTGATGCATTCAGCAACACCTTTTACCAACTTGAACATGCCAGGGGCTGCCTAAGGACTCTGGAGGGTTCTCTACATTAAAACATTTTCAACTGGTAAGTGTAAATTACTGAAGTCAAAGCCTATAGATCTATTTCCATGAGCAAATTAGAGAGTAGTCCTCAAATTTAGTTACATATTGGAGATGACAGTCATTCAGGTCCAAGCTCCCACCTTTGCACTGGTGGAAGTATCTCAGGTGAGTGTCTCCGCACTGGGTTATAGGGTCCTGATGATTCAGGAGCCCAATGAATATTCAAATATTTGTAAAAGTAAAATTGCATTGACAGCAGAGACAAATTCACAGCATTTCATGGACTCATTTCCTTGTAAGTGTCTGTGCAGCATCCTAAACCGTTTTTATAGAGTGCAGTCGAGATCAACGGCTAGTGCACCCATAGATAAAACTGTCTGAGCTGTTATTGCAATTGTAACATGTAAGGCCCTCCCAAAATAAAACAAACTTGTTATCCACCTGATGGCTTACATATCTAAAGCCATGTTTTCACTGGTGTGTAGGTGAGAAGGTACCCAGGTGTATTTGTTTTCAAGAGGTCTTCTGAGCCTCCATTTTTTATATTAGACATATTGATATTGCAGAGAAACAACTGGCATTGCATATATTTCTCATTCAGCAGTGTGTGTAATAATGACTTTGATACCACATGAACTACTTTTTTAAGGCTGATCTCTGGTGTTTGCAAGCTGGTGTTGGGAACTAATAATTCCAATGTGCTTGCCGTACTTAGTCCAGGAAATGACCACCCTTTTTGGTACAGAAATCCACAACAGTACATTCTCTGTCCTTAGTACAATAAGCAGCCCATGAACTGAACTTCTCGGTTACTTCCCCCTACTCATTCATTCACCCCTGTATATTTGCTGTACTCTATGGATCAGGGATGAAAATATTAGCTTAAGGTCTAATTGACTGAAATATTTTTTATATATATATATATGAGTTTTAGAAATTTTGGCTTGTTACTTTTTTCTTTTCTTTAGACAATTGGTATGTTCTCTCTGCTTAGTCTCACTAAATTCTGATTTGTAGAATGGAAACAAAAGTGCCCTCAGGTCAGTCTCTAAAAATGTCTGACAGGTACAAATATAATCAGAGAATGTTAAAATCCACAATAGCAAATAGGCAGTTTTCTGTACAGATGAAGACAGGTTGTGAAATCAAAGTTTTTCAGCACAGATCCTGGTGAACGTCACTGTTTCTTCTATATCAAAGGAAAAAAAAAAACAAAAAAAAATTCCACTGCTTTTTGTCCTGGAGCTACCAAAACCATTCACTGGTGAAGATGCAAAATATAAACCACTCATAGGAATATTTAATACATGTAAACTGAAGGAATGATAGTTACACTATGATTCACAGTATACTAAAGAACAGATATGCAGAGGTGCTGGGAAGCCATCCATTGCAATATCCATTTTGTGTTCATATTTCAGTTTTCTGAGCTTTAGTGTTTGAAAGTATGAATCTCAAAGACTTGTCTCGATGAGCATCTTTTTACAGTCTGTTCATATTCATGCATAATGTGACTTGAGATACTGTCAGTCATCTTCATTTAGCCTCTCTCTTTGTAATTGTTTTGTATATTTTACCTGCTTTAACTGAGCGTACATTTTCAGAATTTTAATGCGGCTAGGGGTAGGGTCTGGAAGCATTAAAGAAGTGATTCAGGAATGAATATTTTCCATATTTTGGAAAGCACAGTTTTTTTGTCATATTATATGCCATGTTCTTTTATCCCCTATTATTGCTCCTCTTAGAGGTCTGTTCTGTTTGATCAGGAGTTCCAGGTGAATGAAAGAGATACAGTACGGAAAAGGTTTCAGCTACAGAGAGCAGGGATTTGGGGTTAACTAGTAACTTTAGTATTTCTGGTACCACTTTCTATTGGAGTCCAGCTAACACAGAATAGCAGAGTCAATACTCGTTAAACTCTCTCCCCTCCAAAAAAGGAGCTTAATCTCCATTTAATCTCACATCTAAACAGTCCACTTGAAATGTCCTTCTAGCTTTTGTTGCCTACTGAACCATACCTGTAAATTTTGAGGGGGAATGATAATTTGGGTGGCCAAAGCCATCTGGGGTAGGTTTGTACTGTTTAATAATGGAGCTCAGCTGCCCAGGACTGTCCTTTGGCAGTGGCAACTTTTCAGCTACTGGCATGGAGGCAGCCTTTGTCTCCTCAGCCTCACTTCTGTATAGGAGTACATAAGCGAGCCTATGAGGTGTTCCATGTTAGTCATTATCCGGGGAGACCCTCTTCCACCTTTCTCTTGGATTTAGTTCACTTTTGAATTCCCTTTGCTGTAGAAGGCACCGAGGGTGCGTATCACTCACCAGACTCTTCACAAGCAAACTGATAGAGCTTCCTGCCATGAAATCTCATTTTTTTCCCTGTGTGTCTGAGTATTGACTGCAGAAAGCAAACTTTTGTCTTTCTGTTCTCAAATGCTGTGTTTGTTAAATGGAATAGCATAGGACAGCTGCTAGTCCAGCGCAGAAGTCTACTTGCTATTACTCTACCAATTCGCTTGTCCAGCATCTGTGAAGACAAAAAATTATGGAATTTATGAATTCCATTTGGATAATATAGGGCTCTTAGGAGATCTTTTCACTTAGTCTAATTCTTTCCACAAATCAGGTACCTACAGTTATTGGCAGTGGCAGCCTGGGAAACCAGACATATGTTTTTCGGATATACATGGAACAATTATTTCTGATCTTGTATCATTTATCTCTTTTGAGAGCTTCTGTTTTTAGAGAGCTTAATAGTTTCATTTTCTATGACATGCACACAAAGCCTGGCTGATCTCTTTGTTGAAGTATGTTATGAGATCACTGTTTGCTACACAGGAACCGTGTTCCTCCACCTCCTCCCTGCTTTTAGTCCTGGTTTGACTAAAATTTGAATTTTGCCATTGACAATTTCAGACTTTGGATTATGCTTTTGAATAGTCATGAAACCTAGATAAGGGTACTCCAATGCACGTGTTTTGAGGTGGAGAGGAGGGGGAATCTACCTTAACACTACTTATGAGGAGAGAATCCTTCCTCTTCCAAGCTCTTTTATATTTGGAGATGTACAGCAAATCCTATGCTTACACAGACAGGAGTGGTGGCTTCCTAGCCTGCAGGACCTGCATAAATAGTAGCTGGTATAGGAATTTTTCTTTTTCCCCGATATCAGCCAAAAATTGTATGCTAATCTATCTCCATGGTGCTGAGAATATATTTTTACAGTATAAAAAGCTGTCAAAAACAAACACTGACATGTTGAACGCTGGTAGACTAGAAGACTCTAGTGCTTAACAATTGGTTGATGTGGTGATTTTTTTTAATTGCAGGCTGAAAAAGCAGAAGGATTTATTAGGCTTCCAGACTTCAGTGTGGACCGAGCAACTGAATGCAAAAAAAAGCAGTAAGTTTGTCTCTTGGCCCCAGTTTTGCATGAATAAAGATTTTTACATGATTGCAAGGACTTGAGTCTCAGTAGTGCATGACAATGAGGCTGTGGGGAACTTTTCTCTTGTATGAGCTACTAAAGGAAAAACCTATTGCAAAAATATTTTTGAAAATTCTCTGCCAGATGTGTTCCTATAGTCTGCTAAAACGGTGATTCAAAAAAAAAAATCATTAAGCCAAATGCTTTTTCTTTGTTCGCTGTTGACATATAGGAAATAGTCTTAGATGCCTTCTCTTAGGTAAGGAGGTCAAGTGAGGCGAGTGATGCTGCTTCCTTCTGAGCTGGGATTATTCTTTAGTCTGCTGTGGTGCAGCTGACTTTGGGCTGTACTTGAAACCTCCAGTTGTGCAGGGAATGACAACTTTGTTTAGCAGTGTAAACATTTCAGAATATTCTCTCCAAACTCCATATGTAGCATTGGCTTCCAGCTGCTTCTGAGTACACTTCAGGAGTTTGGAGGGGTATTGCTGATGTTCCAAGTTATAAAGCTCAACATGCTTTTTCTTCTGGCCTTAAGAGAAAGCCTTCTTTCTTCTGCTCTGTCCTCTTGCTGAGGTTAGCTGTAGGCATGCCTGACATTAACTGTGGACTTGAGTTCTCAAAGAAAAGGACATAGATGCTTTGAATATGAAGAGCTCCATTTAGTGTTCTCAGAGGAAAGGCTGTTGAGTCACATAAAACCAGGGGCAAATGTTGCTGTTGACTTCTGTAGCTGTTGGCTGTCAGTGTCTGGGAAGAAAACACATCCTTATCACTTACTTGGGGTGGAGTAAGTCAGGAGACTTACAAGGACTGATCTGGGCTTCTTGATTAGCTGGGTCCTAGTCAAATAGCGTATGCTTCCATAGGACAAATGTAAAGTAATATAACAAGGAGCAAAAAAGAGAAGCCACGCAGTCTCAGGACTGGAGACTACATCTTAAAGACTCTGAAAAGTCTTACTGACAGATGTTCAACAGCATAATGTGATGCTGAGACCAACAGGTTAATGTATGGCTATAAATCACCAGAAATGTGACTTATTATTGTAATAAAATATTTGGTTTTAGGGTCTGCAGTTCAAGATAGATGTTGATAAACTGGAAAGGGTATTTTTCTGGTTATAATTATTACAGATTGAGGATCTTTTTTGACTTCTTTTGAAACTAATTTTCTTCACACATCTTTTTTTTTTCTTTTCTTAAAGTGCTATTAAGATCAGCCACCCACAGATCAAGACATTTTATTTTGCAGCAGAAAATGTTCTGGAAATGAACACGTAAGTAAAAGTGAATGACCGTGGTGCATCCTGTCCCACATCTTAGAACACTCACTCTTTGAAAGTTCATTCTCTGTCAAGCAGTTGTTGACAAAGTTATTCTGGGAGTTACTAAATCTTTTCCTGTTTTCTCGTTGTTATATAGAAGGTAACTACTGCTAATTCAAGTTGAACATCTTACTCTAGCGCTGGATGTTCTAGTAACTTGAATATTTTTCTGTACAATATTAGAAATGGAATATTTGTTCACTAATTAAAGTTGAAATCAGAATCTCATTATTAGCCTAATTTTGATACTAGTCTTCCCCACATTTGCAGGTATAAATCTCTTTCCATTAAAGAGGTGTGTAGACTGGATATCAAATTCATTACCTTGGGAGAAGTGAGGGAAGAAAGAAAAGTACAATATACTTTTATTCCAGGAATGACTTAGGACTAGAATGTAGCGTTGTTTGCTTTGAGATGTCTTTCAGATTTTTATGTCAGTTAACAAGGTAGTTATAGAGCTATAGAAAGCTGTGTCTTTAATGTAAACAAATATTTACTTCACTGCCAAACGATGCTGCAGTTAAATGATCTTTGTGCCAGGTCATAAATTTTCGTTTCACAAATGTCCATAGGAACAACAATTTATTCACGTGGTTGTTAATGAAAGAAAGTAAAACTGGGTATGAGTTTTGCCATTTTAGAAACCGCTGAGCTATCAGAAACAGATTTTACTTGCTATTTTACTTGCTAGTTTTGGTCAATTTATATATATCTGATATCTTCTTTATCTTTACTACTTCAGATTGTAGGCTGTTCACAATGGATTAAATGGCCAAAACTCAAATACAAAGCAGCATAATTTAAAAAGGAAGAGAGCTCCTATGATAGTAAGGTCAGGATTTTAATAAGGACTCAATTGGTCACCTCAGTGAGATCCTTCATAGACCTTTCACTGTTCTTTCCATCTATAAATACGAGACTTGACATGTTTACCACAAAGGAAAAGGAGAGAGATGAAGAGAATGTGTGTGACCTTCTGAAATAGCTATAGATATAGAAATGTATTTATATTATACATATATCTACAATACTGCACAAATATAGGTATATATTTATAAAGCTATATTCTATAGATACATGCATGTAGCAATATGTTGCTCTTTACAACTTGGAGAAACGTAGAGCTTGCTGATGAGGAAATAACCATGCTTTTCTATATAGCTGTGCTTCTTACCAAGGCTCCTGAGTGGAGCAGGAAGTTCTTGAAGCAGATGGGCTGAGGAGCACTGAGAATGAGGGATCGCTGGGCAGAAATATTTCTGTAGAGAAAGCAACTACTGTTGAGACATGAGAAGGAAGGATGTAAGGAGAAGGAAAAGAAAAAGTAGAGCTGATGGAGGACATGTGAGTGTTAATAGCCAGTCTGGAGCCCAGCTGGAGAGCCTCAGAGTCTTAATGACGCTTTTGAAATGTTTAGTCTCATGTGAGTGAGTGACTGAAATCTATGCAGGTATCCCAGCCCTTACACCCTGAGAATGATTTTCTTTAAACTCCACTTTTCAAGTAAATTTCATTTTGGCTTAAAGCTAGGTAGCCTACCGTTAGAGCAGCTTGCACTATCCTGCACTAGTACTAATTCCTCAGTATTGTAACCCATGATATTTTCCTTGGCAAAGTATAAAATACATACATTTAATACATAAAGTACACACATATTCACGCCTATGTCAAAACAGAATAAAAGACATCTGCTCTCCTGGCTCCAGTCCTGCAAATACTTTTGCATGTGAGTGGTTCCACTGAACTCATTGGGGCATTCATGTGCGTCAAGCTACTTGTGTGCATAAATGTTCGATAGATCATGTCCTTTTGTAACTCTTCATGCATATATCTATTAAATCAACAGTGGGCTTATTAATACAGTCATTTGCTTCATTAATTTAGCATGTATTTGCCATAGTCATGCACATGTGAAAAGCAAATGTGTGCTGGCTAGCTGCATGCATTTTTACCTGACCAGTTGCATGCCTTTTCTAGTAAGCTGTCTGACCTCATGCTTAGAGAAGTCCTGGATTTCTTAGTAACTCTATTCTTTTAATTTTCTTGCTTAAAAATCTCTTCTGTTAAAACTCTATTTAAAAAAAGTCAATAATAAACCACTCTTGTAGGAATGATGTTTTGATTTATTGAATTATTATGTGCTTCTATTGTTCATATTGCAGACTAAAAACCCACTGTTGCCACTGATCTAGCTGGCAAATTTCCCCTTGCTTCAGTAGGAACAAGATCAGATGCAATAGTTTCCCCAAGTTATGAATCTTGATTCCTGGCCTTCTTCCTATGTTCCCTATTTAGGCCTTGAGTTTTAATTTGAAGGTCTAGAGCTTTTTTAGTTATTACTTTCTTAAAACCTGGATAGATCTGAATGACTTATAAGCAAACACAATATATAAAAAGTATTTCCAGGGATTGTTTCAAGCATTAGAAAAATGTAGCCACCTAGGAGAGAAACACAGAACTGTTAATAGCACAAAAGCAACACAGAAGGTAAGACTTAATAAAACAAAAGTGCATAGGGAGTTGAAGCAAGCAGTGCATAATGGTTAGAAAATTAGGTTTATATGGCTCTTCCTGAGATCGTCCTATAATAGCTTTGGCCAGGACAACTGACATCATCTTTAATGGCTCTTACGGCTTTTGCTTTGTCTCATCTGAGAGATGACACCTTAGCAGCAGGACTAAACCAGTGAAATTTTGTTATAGCACAAATACTTTTCCTTTAGCTTCCACAAATGTGGCTCCTTGGTTATCAGTAGTGCTTTTTTGAGGATCAGGAAAAGATGATGTTCTTAGTCAGCTAGTCCTGCTTACCACATGCAGTCTGAGAAGAACACAAGGGCTGTATGACGGAGAAGCGTGAATAGTTTGCTGTAGTACTGGATTATGTCACTGGTTCAGAAAGCAATACATAGAATCAGTTTAGGAAAAGAAAATTCTAAGTAGTCTTACGAACTGTCTATTACCTGTTACAAGGCAGACCGGTGAGCTGTTTAGTGCGTTTCTACTTCTAAGGGCAACTGCGCCATCCACAGTTTTTGCAAGGAATGGGAATTATGCATTCAGGTAACTGGTGTCTTTTTAGAAGGTGGTCTAAGAAAGAAACTCTGACATTTAGACTAAAGGTTAGCCACAACAGAGATGGTAATACAGAACACATCTGAAAGGAGCAAAACTTTCAGAACAGCATGTAAGTGTCTCTAACAATGTATTCCCTCTGCTTCTAACACAGGTGGCTGAGTAAGCTGGAAATGGCTGTAGACCCTCAGGCACTCAATGGGAAGAATGAAGAAGGTATGTTTCTGACAATGGTTTTAGTATGTATCTACGTAATGTTTTTCACAGGGCAAAGTTTTCGCTGGGCTGAATTTGTGTCATCCATTTTCTTTGTTTTAAATTGTTACCTTGGGCCTGTCTACCTGCTGAGCTCAGAGGCACCACTCTGACTCAGTACAGGCTAACCATAGTTAAAGAAACACTGGCGAGCAGCTTATAGAGACACTCAGCGATCCTTCTGACTGATATGTAACTACCGTCTGGCAGTTTGCTGGCTGGCTGAGTCCACAAAGAGAAATAGTTGTGCTACCTGGGTTTTGAGCTTGTAAGTTATATTATAGGAGCTGTGTTATGAGTGGGGAGCTTGCTAGCTTGGGAACATCTTATGCAATGTAGATGTCCTACATCATTAGGGACATTGTCCCTAATGTCTCCTCCAGTTTGGAGGGTTCCAAGAGCAGCAATGTCTGCGTACAAACTGAAGTGTACAATTTCCTTTCCAGCTAAGCCCAAGAGTTAATTGTGGAATGAGTAACTTTAAACGCCTGATCTCCTAAAAGACATTTCCTAATTTGCACAATGATATAATAGAACTTTTTTGGAGGTCAGTACCTGCACCCAAATCACAAATATAGGTTGAGGACAAAGAAAGTGTCATTTGTCACAGTGCTTGGTAGGGCTGCTGGTGAAGATGCACATGTTTGGAACTAGTTTAGAGCTCAAAGCACTACGGCTAGTTTTATGAACTGCCCCTTAGCAAACTTGGGATGAACTTTAACCTGAGGAGTATGTATCTTCTTCTGGGCTTTTAACCCTGCATTTCTGGAGTGTTGGTTGAGTGCCTTTTTTAGAACTGCTCAGATTCTGAAGAAACAGGCATTATGAAGAAGAAATTGGTGTTTAGACTGGTATGAACACTTAAGTGATGCAGCCTGTTTTGTCTAAGCAGTGGAAGGCTCTTTGCCATATCGCTTCTGCAACTCTGCAGAAAAAGAATGTGGTTCATGTCCGACTTTGGGCATGTAATGCCATTATTGATTTATCTTATCTGTCTCCATATAAACTCTGCCATTAAAAGCAGCTTTCACTGATAAACATAGATATCACTGATTTCTGGAGATTCAGTAGGTCTCATTTTTTTTTTTTTTTTTGTCTTCACTTCACAGTTCCTCTTCATTTCTTGTCAGGAAACCTTTTAATTCCCATTTCCCTAAATTCCTTCAAAATATCTATGTCCTTTTGCAACCCAATTGTATCAGAATAATATCAGCTAATTAGTGGGGAGGGCTTTACAGAATACTAGGCTGTGTAGCAAGAACTGCATGATAATTATACTTGGGGAAGAAGTGTCCAAACATGTTTTCCATGTTTACACGAAAGAGGAGGAGATTGACTGAAGGTAATGATTGTCAAAATATTATACGTAGAAACAAATTCATTTTTTTAAGACCTTAGAAAATGTAGCATATTGGTTGGCTTGGCTAAGTCAGGAGTTTAAAAATTAGATTTAAAATAAGAGAGCCAAATAAACTGCATTAAAAAAAGAGAGAGAGAAAGACAGAGAGACAGACAGACAGACACAAAGAGAAACAAAATGATCCACTTGAGCAACCTTTGTAGCAGGTTATCTAATTACCCCGGTATAAACATAACACTGCCAAGATTTCTTCAACTTTTGAAGCTGGTGGCTTGTCTCTCCGTTCAGAAAAAACTCTCTGAATGTGGTGCCAAACACCAGCTCAGCTTTCCGCTCATGTTTTGCCACAGGTGCTCCAGCAGCTCTCTTGAGTACAGGTTCAGTACCCTGTTAGCTTGTCTGTGTGCCTTACAGAGGCATTGTTACACTTCACAGAAATGTCACCATTACCCACAGTTGTTTCTGTTTCTAGTGACCCAATTCTGCCCTCTCTGTCACAAACCATAACTCTCCAGGAAGGTCTTGGCTCTCATTGTGGCAGTTCTTGTATATTCTTTTGCTTTCTCTGCCTTCAGCCCTCCTGTTAGCCTATTTAGAGTATCAGAAACAGCTGTTGCTTCTTTTTCAGTTCTTCTGTCTGTATAAAAACAATAAGTTCTTTACTCGGAGTTATTCAAGAACATATTAATAGAGCCCTAGAATTTGATATAGGCCTTACTGCAGCCAGTCTTGGTCCTTTATGCTAAGATGTGCCTGCACCTATTTTCACTAAACCAAATAGCAGTTATGCTATTAAAAAGTCTATAGTTCTGCGAACAACAGTACTGGGAGGAAACATGTATAAATTATTCAAAAAGTAATGAATCTCCTTAGGTGTCACTTTGCTAACATCTTAGAAACCTCTCTCTCTTGTCTACGAAACTGTTATATTTTACAGCTTTTTTTCCCTCGCAGTGTGTTTATTAGAACCCCAAAACGACATGCACAAAAAGAAAGTGTGCAGGTATTAATTTAGCTAAAAGATGTGGTAAACATATGTGTTTACCCACAGACTGTGCTAACATTGCTTTCTACTGATTCAAACCCATGAAGACCAGCTCTTGCAAAATGCTCTCTTTATAAAAACAGCCCTTAACAACTTGGAGAGAGCGAGCTGGAGAATTATTTCCACTAGAGAGATGCGATTGCTCTTTAAGAGCACAAACTGACTTTATACGCCTCGCGCTGAGGGAGAGGAAGTGCAGAGTGCTGGCTCCAGTGGAAACCGCAGGGGCAGTCTTTGCGCTTCTGACACCTAGCGCTTGCTGACGTGGGCCTCGTTAAACTCCTAACTGCTTGTTACCGCACAGGTCCCCAGCTCACCGGGGTAGGTGTGAGCTCTGTCACACTTGGCACATGGTACAGGAAAGCATGCAGACACTTGCTCCTATGAAGGTTTGATCTGAAGGGGCGATGTGTGCTGGGAGATTTCGTGGAGGGGAAGTGATTTTGCCCAGTGGTTACAGCCAAGCTCTGGAAGTAGGAACCACCAATTTATTGCCTCCTGTTTTTGTCTCTGTGTCTCATTTTATCAGCTATCTGGTTATCACTTTATTTAATCCAGTGTTAAAAAGCACTTAAGCAGTGCTGGAAAATACCTCCATCCGCTTCACAGGGAGTTAAATAACAACATGACTGCCCCTCTGCCGCGTGTGAAACGATACTGGGGCTTTATCAGCTTGCTTTTCATTTAAAAAAAATGCATGAGGTGTATAATCCTCATGTGTTTGCTTTTATGACTAGCTTTACAAACATACCACTGTTCCACGTGGTGTGCCTGCCTACGTGAGTTACTGTGTGGTGACAGAAGTTTCTGATGGGGGTGCTTCTTTGCTTTCCTAAGTACCATGCAAGCAATCTGTTTTCCAAAATCTCAGCCAAAATACCGTTTGCCTGTTTAGGACAGTTTGCTGGTTAAAGAGATTGAGGGCCAGAACCTGCTACTTGCGACAGGTTTCCCTAAATTATACAACCAACCGTGCGGCCTTTCTTTTACAGGCTGAGAAGGAAAAAAAATCCTATTCCCTCCCCCCCTTAAAGCTATTTATAGCAGTGCCACCTAGTGTTTACTGCCGTGGCAATTATGTTTGCGTTAAAAAAAAAAAAGAAAAAGAAAAAGAAAAAAAAACGATTACTACAGGTGGGTTAATTTTCATTGAAGGAGATACTGATACGCTACAGTGTGGTCCTGAGACCAGAAAGTGCTATTTGGTGGTATTTGATTACCACAGTGGTGCAGAGAATACATGAACGTTAGACCAACAGTTTTTGTTCATTTTTCCCTGTCTGCCCCAGAATGTTACAGTGAAAGTGAACATGATGATCCAGAAATAACAGACACACCACCTCCCCCCTACACAGCCCAGCCACCACCTCCTCATTTGGTAAGTCTTACAGTATTTAGCTTGTTTCTAGTTGCTAACTAGTTGGAACAAATCTCTCTTCAGAAGGTGTATCTTCACCTAATGACCTAAAGTAGGGGCGGTAAATGTTCACTTTTTGCCTGTGAAATGTGAATGCACCAACTCACCACCCACCCTATGACGGAGCTTGCAGTTATTCTAGCCTCCTCCGCTGAGAGCCTCACACTTGAAAGCGCAAGCTCCTTCAAATGAAGACATATCTGTTTTAGAAAGGAAGGTGTCACTCTACCTCATATACACAAGGTGTCTTTCCTTTACGAGGTTTTCAACACGCTGCCATAACCTGATTTTTCATACTTTTCCAATCCAATCCAATCCCAAATCTTTTTTTTGGCTACCTCTGACAGCATCATCCAACAGATTTGTATTTATTTATCTGAGTGAGCTACTCTTAAAACTGCTGAATTTGAAGCTGCGCTTGTGGCAGGAAAGTAAAGGGAAGTGAAAAGAAAGTGGTCTCTGCTGACAATGACAAAATCTGTTCTTTTCTTCTACCTGTGAAAAAGAGACTATAAACAAAGAAAATAGGCATCCTCCCAAAATCTGGGCTGTTTTTCTCGCTTGCTGTGGAGCATTTGTCCAAAATATTCCCTCCTGCCTAGCTTCATTTCATGAATTAAAATAAGTTCATGAATTAAAATAAGAATTAAAATAAAATAAGTATGCACGCTCATATGTCTAATCAAATTGACTTACCTAGTTATTAGCCAGTTACTGACCTATGAACCTTGTTTCTATGTTGTTGCTTTCCCCAGTGATCTCATCTCGCTTTGTACACCTTTTAGTATATGAGCTTTAGTTATTCTGTGTATAGAAATGACTAAACCAGTTAGGGATGGTAGTGCACCTGAAATAAGGATCCTTATTTCAAGCCTTTCCCTCCTTTGTTGAAAGTTAATATTGAGGGGTACACAGTAATATGCTTAATATAAAATTATATTGTTGCATCTCATAAAGGGAAAGTGCCCACTACCTCATCGATCTGGTACAGGTTCCTCTATTGGCACACGGAAACAACATCCAGTAGCTGAGGTGATCAGAGACAGAGAAGCAAGAACAAATTTGAAAAATATAGATCAACCGTAGAAGCTTGCATAGTCATAGTCAGTAATAAAAGATGTGTTGGCACACACATGCCATGTGTCCCTGTCTGGTATTCTTTAATTAGCTCTCATAAAGCTGGGAGTGTGTGTCACACCATCACCTATTTGGCCCCTTCTGTTTCAGTCAGATAAGTCGGATAAGTTCACTTCCTCTCCGAGTACAGTTGTTTAATACTAATCACTGTAAAACAATCCACCTGGCACTCGGGGATGTGGGGTGTTCACTGCTGTATAAAATATGATTCTTTATTGGCTGTATTAACTGAAAGTTAAATGTGGCCAAGTGGCTATAAATATCAGAGAAAATAGGAACCTTGGCAATGTGACTCCAAGAGTTATTTTGGGCCAAAAGCTGATAATGAAGTGTCTCGAATTTTATACGTCAGTGGCTTGCCTTTAAGTGGCTGTAGATGTCTTTCCCTTCTGCTCACCCCTGAGTGAATGCCTGCATTTTTCCGGGTAATGAGTTTAAACAGGTGCTGTTTTGTAGTTTTCTGTTTTTCTGGCTTCCTGCTGCTTGTCAGTCTGTTGCTGCAGAGACTATCTCCGGTTATCTCCTACCCATATGCTCTTCTGGGAGGGTATGTTAGGAGACAAGGCTGACTTCAAGATTTTAGTAGGGAAGGTGGGTGCTGAGAGGTCCCACTTCCTCAGTCTTTCCTCATAAGGCTTATTTTCCCTCCAGCCTTTTCCTTTCTGAGCTGTTTTCCCTTCTGCTCATCCCCACCTTGAAGTCACTTCTGCCATGGACAAAAGTTAGTGTCTGCAAAGCAGATTAGTCATCTCCTCCTCCCAGAAGAGGCCACTGAGATAAGCTCCAGCTGCCACTGCTCTGCCCTATGCTCGGCTCCCTAATGTGGTGGGTAGGGAACACTTAGGTACCAGCAGAGCTGAGCTGATGGAGTTCTCTCTCAAATTTTAGATATCAGCCTCCTTACTCCTGATAGCAGCTGAAGCAAGAAAACCACTAGAAAGATTGAGAAAGCACAGCTTTTACTGGGAAGTCAGTTCTAGGGATGAAGCTCTTGGATGGTTTGGGGAAGGCTGGTTAAACACTGCTTGCTGCCTGTTCATTCACTACAGACTTTTTGTACCAAGCTAAGAGATCCTGAACATTTGGTGGATCTGGGATGATATTATGTACGTACACATCATTTGGGATGCCTACTTGCATTTTTTCAGATTGCTACTGGGAGAAACGCTTATCCTGGAAACTCAGACCACCATCAAGAATGTTATAGGTGCTTGACTGGGGCTTATTTCACTTTATTTATTTATTTATTTATTGGTGTTGTACTTTTGCCTCCCAAGTGACAAGGGCAATTTGCAAAATAAGATTTTGGAGCTATGGACACTTTTGAAAATTAACCCCATTATCTCAATTAGAAAGCCTCCAAACTTCTTGAGATCACCTCCAGACTGGAAACTATTAATCTGGAAACTAATAGTTATCCAGGTGCAGGCACTGTTATCTATTAGAGCAACAAATATTTTGCTGTACTTATAGCACAAAGTTTTAGTTGCTAGTTCTCTGCTAATTCAAAGCATTTTGACCATTGAAAAACAAAATAGTGGTGAGCATGAGCCTTCTATGTTTATGAGTGCTTCTGGGTACTGTTGAAGAAAAAAGCAAGTGAAAACCAAATACATTTTAGCATTTGTAGGACAAAAGCTCTACTGACCATTTGCATTAATTTTGCTGCATGTGAATGGATTTAATGCTCAAAAACTAGCAGCCATGCTGAGCCAATAGATTGCAGCAACTCCGAAAAAGCTGTTGACATATTTCGTGGAGATAATTTTTCTCTTAAAGGACTGTCTAGGTATCTTTTTTTTATGTCTAGTGGAATCCTTATGATCTGCTGGCTTGAACATCTGCTTTTTAAAATGTCCCCAAATGGAGATTTATTTTTACATGGATAATTGCAAGTCTTCCGAAGGAACCTCTTCAGTAGCTGAGGTAAACATTGGTCATGCCAAGAAAAATAAAATATAGTTCTGTATGTTCCCATGGGTAGAGAAAGAGAAACATATTCTGGCAGTCGTCTTTATTCTCAAGCAAATCTTGTCTTTAACACAAAATGAAAATGAAAACAAAAATACATTCAATTCAGGGAGACACCGTTTTTGTTTCAGTGGCATTTTCTATTGCATGGAAAAATGCCAGAAAAATGTAGGTGAGATCTAGCATATTCTTTTTCTGCCTTTGAACAACTGGAATTAGACCAGCAAAACCCCATGTGCATGAGCTTTTACTTTTCAGTTGCTCTGCCTGGCTGTAGAAACAGTTCAACAGTTTGTCTTCTCAATAGAGTTCAGAGACAGATGAAATGCTTCAGGTAACTCATGCTCCCAAGCGCACTTTTGTCTCTGGCAGATGTAGTTTATGACAGCATCTCCTTGTCTTTTGCTCTAGGGCGCGTTTGTGAAGGTTTTCTTTTTAAAAACCAACAGGTACCTGAAACACAGTATCATACTTTCCATAAATAATGTTTGTTCCCATAGCATTGGGGATAGTCTTGGAGGAATGGCTTTGAAAATTTACAAAAGTGAAGAAAGTGGTGCAAACAAATGGTGACCATAATCTGATATCAGTCCTCCTCATTCTCTGAGTTGATTAGTAGATCTAAGAACCAGCTAGATCAAAACTATCGGAAGACAATCCTATTTGCATTATTTAATGGAAAAAGGAAGTATTATATGCTATAGCAACACTGAGTTGCCTAAGTTTATATAGCATAATTCAAAAATGTTGTCACACCTTGTTTATATGAATATTTCTTGCTTCTAGTTTGTCAGGTGATTATTAATAAATATTCCAGGCTAGTCCCTTTCTTGTGTTTTCATTTTGTTGAGGTTTCCCTAGCAACACCACTTCAGTAATTTGCAGCACTGCTGGCTTAGTTATCATCTGTTTTAATCCTTAGAGATCTATTCTACATATGTACATAAACTTTCCAGACTTGTAGTCTATCAAGTCTGGTATTCTGATTTTGACAGTGGCCAGTAGCAGCTGATTTGCAAAAAGGACTAAAATTTTTGCAGTAGCAGATATGAGAAATCTGGCTTTCGTATTATGTCTCATTGTGATTTCTAGTAGTTTCTACTAATGGGTGCAATATGAGGCTTTGTCTCTCTTCCATTGCTTCATTATTGTTAACTAATCTTCTTCTGAGTATTTGTGTGTGTATCTATGTGTTTCTGTGTACCCATGTAGTAACTTTTTGGCCCTCTTTGAAGCTTTGCTTAATTCTTGGCTTTGACTTAGATTTGGCAATGCCACAATTAACTGTGTAGACGTGTCCTCTCCACACAATTATATTTTGTGTGGAGTTGTTGTTGTTAACAGTTTTGAATATGTGCTTCTCAGTTTAGTGGATTGTCCTTTTAGCTGGATATTTGACTCTCTTTCTTGGCTTATCTTTTCAGCGTCGTTGGTCATTAAGAAGCAGGCTAGTGCCAGTTCTTCTGTGGGAGAAGTTGCTGTTGATGACCAGACAGTAGTACAAGTCAACTAGTGTAAATGACTCCTGTAAAAAAAACAAAAAACAAAACCCTAAGCATCTATCTGCCTGTCTGGGTAGCTACGTACCTTTCAAAACTTTCTTTTTTCTCCTAAGCTTTCTTTACAAGGTATTATGTGCCTATTATGCCCTCTCTCATTGATGACCTAGCTCCTAACGACGGCTTGTAGAGGTCTCTGAGCCCCTTCCGGTGATATGAACTCTTCCTGAGACCAGTATGGCATAGAGGGACCTAGGATGTGCCGATTATTTCCGATGTGTCTGTAGTGAAGCTCAAGTCTGTTCTCAGATTCATGTGCTCAAGGATAAATTTGGCAGGTGAATGAGCAGCACAAATCTTGTACCATTCTGCCTTTTGCATGCCCTTTGCCTCGTGGTTGCCTGCCTTTCCCTTTCCCCATTGATTTGCCTTCTTGGCTTGGTAAATGATTAGTCCCTTGAATGGACCAGGTGAAATAGCTTTGTGTGCTGAGAAAGTCAAGGTAGTTCACTGCTCAGGCTCATTCTTGACCGTCTCTGGTTATGGCATCAATGGATTTACTGAATGCTTTAAGACAACTCCATGGTCAACGACTAATTCAGGGCTTCTCTTCTGTGCTCTTGATTAGACCAATGGAGTGAATAGACAGTAAAGAGTGAAAGCGAATATGAGACCTAACATGGAAAGTTGCATTCAAAACATGACTTCTTTTTCTAGCTCTTTTGTTTCTAGGTGTTTCTAGATTTTGATCTGTTTACCCCTTGCTTCATCACTTAGTTTTTGAAAGTGATGGGAGACTGGCTTTCATACCTCAGGCTTGTTTGGATTCAAATTTGATCAGATTGTATCAGTTTGTGGTCAGTTAGCATTTCAACTGCATATCCACAATAGATAGAGCCTAGGAACAGGAATGACTTGGAATAAGGTTTTGTTTTTTGTTTTGTTCTTTTGTTTCTGGAAAACAGGATCAGCAGAAGTTCTCCTTGACCTCAACTCTGTCAAGTGAAGCATCTTGTTCTCTCTCCTCCCCTGAAAGCACTTTCAACTCCCAAGAGTCGTCATCTTCCTTGGTGTCCAAAGTGGTTTATCCCGAGAGGCAGTCCTGGCTTGACCTAGTTAACAGCTCTGCCATAGAAGAGGGTGATCAGCCTTTAACCTTCTGTGTCCAGGTTCACTCTGAGGAGCAGCCAGAAATGGACTGTGGAGAAGTGGCAGAAAGCCAGGAGGTCCAGCCCAGTGGTGGATCCCAAAATTCTTTGTTAACTCAAAATATACATTGCCTGGCTGTGCTAGATGCAACAGGACAGAAATCACTAGCCAAAGGTGAGTGAGGAGGTTTTATCTGCAGGGCCATACAGTGTAAAAGTTTATTGGATTTTTTTTTTTTTTTTTTTTTACCCCCTTCCTTCCTTTATATGCTATACTGAAAAGTTTTCCAGCGGTACATCATTTATAACAAGCATCTGGTTTACTGTGCTTCAGATATATAACCTAGTGTCTAAATGATAAGTACCTTTAGACTTTTTCTCAAATTCTGCATAGATGTCAAAGTCATAACCTCTCTATAAAATCCTAATATAGACATATCTTTATTGGCTTTCTATAATTTAATATGTCTGTCTTTTATTGGTTAGAATTGAATCTAAACTTTAAGAAAGCTTCACAAGTAGGGGTGGAATCGGACAATATCTGACAGAACTGACATCCTAAGCAAAATAACCTATGAAAGAAGTGGAGAATATGGAGTAACATCAATCCGCCTTTAAAAGTGAAAGGAGGTGCCTTCACTTCTACCACATATTCCCTATTGATTTCACTGAACTTCATCATAATCAAGGGAAAACAGGTGCAATCTGAAAGTCATTTAAGACTGGACTTTGTTTAAGCATGTGGGTATCTGCTTTGGTATCCTAATACTGAAGCCTACTGCTGAATTAAAAACATAGTACATTTTCCAGAATTTGGTCATTGTTACTTGAATAACCCTACTGCCATAGTAAGGCATTGCGCCTTGCCTTTTGAGCATTATGGCATTGCGAGTAGTGGAATGGCTAGGCCTGGCAGAAATGGGGTCCCTGAAGAAATACATAGTAAATGCATTGTCTTCTGTAATTTGACTTTCTGGGTTAAATTTAAACACATAATGTCTTCGGGAAACATTCTTTGGGTGAACTGTGAGATTCCTAGGTTACATATGAGCCCATATTTAAGTACATTCAGGTGGACTGTTGGAGTGTAGGCTATATATGACATAGTGGCTTAAAGATCCCATTAAGCAAGGTTAAATGGTGGCTCTTCAGAAGTGTAAACTTCACCTTTCGCTTAGAATATGTTACTGTGGCATTCTCTGAAAACTTGCAGTAATCCTCAGGTTGCTGCTTACTATAGTGACTGTAAGGGCACTGACAAGAACTTTTATGGATGGTCATAGATTTAGCATGCCACATTTGTAATCATTTAAAGCACAGTTTTATAGGCTGAAATCATACAATGATATAGTAATACTTACCAATAAAATCAGGATTAAAATGTAAATCCAGGCACATTTTGGTATATTACTGTCATTTGGAAGCTGATTTAATTGTCTGAAAAATATTCTGGGGGAAATTACTATTTCCATCTGCTCATTCCTTAGCAGGCAGCTTTCCCTGATTGCGGGATGCTTCCATTGTAACCGCTCTGGTGATCTGTGATGGAATTCCAGAAATAGATCATTTCAATGAGATAGTCACTATGGAAACTGTATAACCTCACTAGTTACTGTCTGCATCGTAACCTGTTGTTGAGCCAGTAAGACATCTACTGTACATGCATTTTTCTTTCCTTTATCAAGTCTGCATGGTATGAGGAGGGGATGGAGAGTGCTTGCGACTTTTTCTTGCAATGGCCCCTGGAAAAATAAATGAAAAAATTTGCACGGAGATTGATTAAGCTACTTCAAAATGGGAATGTGAGGTGGAAAAAAGGATTAATGTAAAGTAGCCATTCAGTTCAAAATGCAGTTTATTGGAAAGGATTTAATTCTGGGTTCAGTGGCTTATCCCCCAAGAATTTCTGCCTTGAGCTAGCTGATAAGGATATGCATGAATCTTGTGAGATGAATTTCAGGTTTGGGGTAAAAGCTAGCTGCCAAACCATACTATTTACCATAAGCGGTAAGAACACCGTAGAGTTATCTGCTGTGAAACAAGAAGAGTGCATACCTCAATCATTTGCTAGTGCAATCAGTATTATGTGCTTTATGATATTTCTCAATAGCGCATTTCTGAGAATTCTTCCTGTTTTAGAGTAACTGGAACGTGTCCAAAAGGAGGCAGGACCACCTTGTGCTCTGAAAGCGTGGCCTGTGTTGCATAAAGCCTGTACCATTGTTTTAACAACAGCTATGCATTCTTTGAACACTCTCACTCCAGAATATTCAAGCTTGTGCATAGTGTCTCCTTCTCCTTACGAAAAGCGAAATCACCTGTCACACAGTCTACTTGGTGGCCACGTTCTGCTTGGCAAACTCTCTGTTGTTAGTTGCAGCTGATAGCAGCTGAGAGCCAAGGTGAACGCTTTCAAGAACTGAAGAGCATTTTTACTGGCAAAAGCCAGAAATGGAGACTGACATGAGAAAAGTTGTGAGCTAGGAGGAAGCGCAGCTTTGACTTTGTGGGAAAAGCTTGTCGTGAAAATACCAGAAGAGTACAGAAGCCTTAGGTATGAATTAAACAATGAAAGAAAAGTTTCAGAAAGATCAAATGGCCCAAATCTCCGTGAGAAAAATGAAAGATTCAAATAATCATAAAGGATTATCTTTTTAATGAAAACTATTAAATGAAATCTGCTAAACAACTGTGTTATTTGCAAGGAGATGTACTAGATGGTGTTTTGAAGGACTTTCCAGCCTTACTTCTCATGGTTTTATGAATGTTTTCAGCCTTATTCACTGCTCTGATTTTTGAGGAAACTTTATGTACCAGAGAGTAACACAAAGTACAAGAAAAGGCAGAATGTAACAGTATTTGCTTTTGAATTTGCTTATTTCCATTTATTTTGTGGGAAAAATAATATTTCAGTATTATTGCTACATTTACAGAGACAAAGAATGTAAAACTCCCTCTGACACAAAGAAACTGAAAGGCAAACAAACAGCAGTTAAGAATATAAACAAGTATCTGACTACGTGCGCTGTATCCAGAAGCTGGCCTTGTCCCATCCAGGATGGCTAGACACTCTCTGCAGCCAAACTTCATCTTTTGTATTTCTTCTGGCAACTGCTGGAACAAAAATTAATCTGATTATGACCCACCACCATCATCGTCAGAAAAAACAATAACAAAAGGAAGTTGCAGAAACTGAAAGGTTACTACAAGAGAACAGGAATAGGTGTTTGTGTGTATTTAGGGATCTTTTACTATAGCAATAACATCCTTCTTCCTTGCATTTCCTTAAGATTTTATGTTCATGATCATGTGAAGTTAATGGATCTTGGCAAGAAATTTTTATGGTACCGTATTTTAGCTCACGGTAGCTTGTAGAAGATCTACCATGTGCTGATATTTTGGGAAACCTCAAAAACTTTTCACAAACCATTTGAAATTTATCTGGGTTGATTTTGTGGGGAACAATTGGTTAAATAGGAGCGGGATGCAATCAGTTCCTCCTTTTTTCAGAACTGACATCCTCTTCCCCTTTTGAGTTTGCGTGTGCCAATAATAGCCAGAACAGAGCCTCTGGTGTGCTCCGGCCCCTTTATTCCTGCTCCAAAAATCTCAAAAAATGGCTAGATGGTAGTTGTATAGACCAACAGATTTGCTTATAGTGAGGATAATTGTATGGACAAACAAGTGTATTTGAATGATTATTTTGCTTCTCATCAAAAAGGCTTTAGAAATCACAGTGAAAATTATGATGCTACAGTTTTCAGGACTTGGAAAAAAATACTTAATTGTATTGTTTCCAGTTACGCCCCAGTTTATTAAAAATGGAATCGCTCATTGCAGAGGAATACAGCATACAAGAGTATCCTATTGTAGGTAAGAGTCTCTTACTATTGGTGGTGAATATTTTTCACGTTTTTTTTCTCCCATTTTCTCCTACCTCATTGTTTAGTAGTTCTGCATTTGCCAATGAGGAGTTTGCCTAAGCCATGCTCTCTTAAATGGAGTATTTCCTATCTCTTCTGTTCTGTAGTTCTATGGGAAATGATATTTCCCCATGATGTCATCATATTCCCATTAAAAAGTCCACTACTGCTGTGGAGAATAGACACTGTGTGCGTGTGTGTATGTGAGGTGAGGGAGGAAGGGAGTCACATTTTTCTCCTCTCTTCTCCCCAGTACGCGTCTATATGCTGTCACATTGGCATCAAAAGGTTAGGCAGAATTGGAAATAGGGGTGTTGCCACAGCCACGAGAAGCTCATATAAGTAGCAAAGACAGGGAGAAGAAGCAGATTTTTTCCTAGAATTAATACACAGCTTGAGAGCTGTGAGATCTCAGTGTTAGAGGGTGAGAGAACAAGTATTTAAATTTCTTGGGTTCAGTTTAGAGTTAGTAAGATATGTTCTGTTGGAGTTATTTTCCAATGCAAAATGTTCTTTCTGCAAAACATTGCCAATTTCTGTTTCTTTACCACTGGGAAGCAATAAGCTTGATTTTTTCATGGCTGCTTCTTGCAAAACATTCAAGTTACGAATTTTCAGACAGGCTCCTGTGTTGCTGCTGCAAAGTGGGGAGTCTGAATACCTTGACGTCTCCCGCTTGTGGCAAGTTGGCTGAAGGGAAGGTGGAAGCTGAAAACTGAGGAGATGAAGAGCTGATGTGCTCAATCTCTGGCAGCTTGCTCTTGTCTGTGATATCTCCTGTTTAATAAGAGGGAAATTTCAGATAAGTGGTACCAAGCCTCAAAATTCTGATATGCTTCTCCTGAAACAGAACTAGTCAGAGGTTCTCACCAGCCTAAAATAACTTTATTTTCCTCACCCCACATTAGAATATCTCCTTCTCTGGAATGGTGAAATATCTCAGGGAAAGACTTTCTTTTTGTTGGCACAGCTCTGCTTCTGTTCCACTTTTCCTGCCGTGAAGCCTGTCAAAGTTAGAAGAGCCATGCTGTATAATTTTTCCAGAAGTAGTATGAGGCTTAGCAGGCTGGAAGACTCATAGATGAAGGGCACTGTGCAAGAGCCCAGTAAGACTGATCCTTCCCGTGACATTGCTCAACAGAATTGCTAATAGTTAATATTGCCAAGGGTATGGAAAAGCATACAGTAAGTGGCCGTGCATGCGTTAGCTTGTGTGCAGGTACACACTCGTAAATACACACAATATGTCGTATCCTTCCACTGTTGCTGTGCTTCCTACCCCTAATCTCTCTGCAGGTCCTGAAAGGAAAATGTACATATTTTATCTTTAAAATAGGATGAGATGAAGAAGTTCTGTGGCAGCACTTAAGTTTCTTAACTTGTGTATCTGAGGCAGAAAGTGTTTAGCTTGATGAGTTCGTGTGGAAGAGGTAACTTGCAATATTGTATTTTGAAATGATTCCGAATATGCCTGATGTTAGCTATGTGACGAGGCTGGAAAGACTTACGTCAGAGGAGTGCTAGCGGGGCCTGACCTGTCTGTGCTCTTTAGAATTTTTACCAGCAGAATATATCCCTAATATAAATCCTCTGAGGTTAACAAAGCTCACAGAAGGGGTGATTCACTTATATTTGAGAGTCCAACACAGATAGACTCGTCCCTTTTACTCTAATCTTGAGTATTGTGTGTTATGTGCATACTTTTTTTTTTTTTTAAACTTTGTGATGCAAACCAAATATTTTGTGATGATTCAATTGTATGGCCTACATGGGGCGGGTTTCATAGCAGGAATCCAAGTTAGTGAAGCCTAAAAATACAGAATTGGTGACTATTTGTACTTCTCTATACTGAAAATTACTCAATTGCTAGGTCAATGCTTTCTTTCCAGGCATAAAGGGAACTAAGCAGTACAAAGTTTTGGGCAAAAGTGCTATAAATGGTTGAATGTGGAGAAAAAGTCCAGTCTTTGCTTAAGATTTGAATCATGCTAGTTTATCCCCATCACCCAACCTTAATTTTCTTTGGATATTTTTGTGGGGGAAAAAGCACAAAACACACTACGGCTACTACTTTCTTCTTCATTTACTTTCCTCGTATGAGGAGGCTTGTGAAATGCTGTAATGGACCATTAAAGAATGTGTAAGTGATGAGAAATGTTTTCTTATCATAGATCATTTTATTGGGCTTGTTAATTGATTTGCTGACGTAATGCCTCTCCCCTTTTTCCATGACGTCTCCCATTTACAGATTCATAGCCCTGGATCTAGCATGTTTAATGACAGTTTCAAGCCTGGAAAGCATTGGGTTTTGCTTTTTGAGTTTGGCTCAGGGGAACTCAGGATATTGAGGGTAAAAGCCCAGATCAGTATCAGACATTTATTGGCAGATTTACTCTCTGTCAATAATGGTATTTGCTTGTGTATAAAACAATAACGGTGTTTGCTTATATACAAAAACACAACATTAAGATACTATTTTTTTAACTGTTGTGAGAGAAGCTCATTGCTTATTAATGTAAGCAAAAATGTAGACAATAGTACTCACATCTGGCTCTACATAGCCTGTAGGTTTCACTCACCCTTTGTAACCTGTAATCCTGTTTAGCATCTTCACTGTCATTCTCTTTATGTACTTGATCTCCAGAATCTGGCGCGTTCCTGTCCCTGTGAAATTAACTGACCTTATTCATTCTTTCAGGGGTCGAAGTGGGGAAAGAATATGATATAGGAGAGGAGTTTTTCAAGGTAGCAAGCTTGAAGGAGTGCAGAAGCTGAGTTCAGAGTGCTGATCATGGGGAGGGAGCCTTCTGGCCTGAACTACCACTTCTCTTTATACATTAAGAATTTGTGTCCTGCCAACCTCCATCCACAAATGCATAAGAGATATTAGAATACGCAGAATGGAAGAAGCATGTTCAGAGACGGAATTTTATCATGTTTGTTACTTTCTAACACTTTTAGGACACTGTGGAGCATCGTGAGTTAGCTTCAAAAAATGTCCAGAGCAGGCACTTATAGTCCTTTTGGCTCCCTGCCCCCACCTTTTATTTTAAGTTGCTGGACAGTCAATGCATTTTTTTTCTTTTTATGTAATTTTTCTTGGATATCTGTCAATTGGATCCGATAAAGCTGAATTTATCTCTGAAAGTGATACTGTGTACAGTCCCAATGGGTAATATCTGCAGCACAGCTGAGCCAGTCCTGTGCAGGAGCTGGCTAATGAAACAACCAGCTGCTTCATCCCAAGTAAGTAGGCAGGAAGCTAGTTATAATTATGAGCCTCATGGTATGAGCTGACAGTTTTCAGGAATGTATTATGCCTTACACGTGCATTTTTTTTCTATTTCTCGCAGCCTGTTAAATATACAACAGTTCTCCTCCTCCCCCTGCACTGTACCAGCGATGGAAGCTATATTTAGTTCTTGTCAAGTTGCAGCAGCCTCTTTATAATCACAAAGTAATGAAAGGCGGCCAGCAACAGACTGAAGACAAATATTTGTAACATATCATAAACTTTTCCTGTAACCTAAATATTTAAGAGGATGGGGGTGTAGGAGGATGCTGTACTTCTTAAAACATGGACAAGATAAGAAGCAGACTCCTGAGTGTGCTGACATGCTGGTCAGCTATTCAGCTACAGCATTTCAGGCCTGATCCCAGCTCACGTATGCAAAGTTTTGCTTCGTCTTATTTGCTTCAGCTGTTGCAGGGTCAAGATCTTAAATGCTGTGGTGAGGGTAATGTAGAAAGGACCAAATTTTTGCTCTTGGCCTCCTCCTTAACCCTTCTCCGCTCCCCCTTCTAATGCATCACTTTTCATTTGCAAACGTATAGCTTGGCATGGGCAGAGTGACGGTAGCACAACAGTGGTTTGCACTCCTAAAGGCATTTATTGACCCTGGATGGCTCTTGGACAGCTCTTGGAATCCTTCTCTAGAGGGACTTTTCGCTGCAGCGTGAGAGAGCAAAGGAACTGCTTCTTTTTGTTCAGAAAATGTTTGCCGATTGAAGATAATTTAGAAAAGCCGATATTTAACTTTTATTTAAAAAAAAAAAGCATAGATATTTCTGTTGGCACACGGAGGACCGCATTTAAGAACTACCACCACCATCCCCAGTGAAATAAAAATGAATGTTATCCAAGTGGGGAATTAAAGGACTCGTTAGCACCCTGAAAACACCAATAATTTTAAGATTTTCCTTTAGTAAATACTGAAATAGAAAAGCTTTCAGTGTGGGTTGAGGGATAAGAGTATCTGGTCCTATCATCACAATGGGTTGCACAGTCTATTGCTGAAAATGACCTTCTGTTCACATGTGCCCGTCTATGCCTCGAACTTCTTTAGCTATTCATTTTTAAGCTGGTTTTTTTTTTTCAAAAAAAATGACTTTGCTTCAACTTTTATCTTATTTTATCCTACTTATTTCTCAGCTGCTTGCTAGCTTTTTCCCTCATGTTCTTTCTGTCATGTAAGATGATGGTACAGTTTAGGAGCCGTCAGATTGAAAGGAATAATGAAAATGAAGATAATGAAGGGTTCATTGTGAGGGACCACACAGAAATTCTGTTGCAATCTGCAAAACTCAGGAGTTAGTTATCAATAGGTAACTATTTTCTAGGAAATTTTTCTTGGGGGTCTCTGACGTGTCTCAGTGCTTCATTTCCTTGCCCAATTTTTTAAATTCTATTTTTAATAATTACCAAAACCTCATGATGAGTGGGTACACCGAATAGAATTGATTTGTAAATTGCCAGATCGAAATGTGTTCAGGGTAACCAACGGTGTGCAGAGTGAAGGGAAAAGGTAAATAGGTGTAGATGCTCTCAAAGTTGTTTTCATCAGATGTAGCACTATTGACAATTGTTCAAAGCCTATGATAGATTCAGAGCATTAAAGCGGCACTTGGACAGCAGAAGTTTATGCTTGTATCTGTTTGGATGGTAATCTGATTCTTACAGTTATTTGAGTTTGGTAATATATTTTTCTTATATGCATTACGACCCTAAAAATTTCACGAAAAGGTGCCCTTGTTTTTGACTCTAACACTGTTACTTTTTAACTTGGCTAAGGTCCGTTTTGGTGGCTGAACTTAATGATTATGCTGTATGCTACCGTATTCACATTCTCATGCTAAATTTATTCTTTTCTTTGCAGATCAGGGAAAATGCCCCGATGATGAGATGGAGCGACTTTATAAGTCGTTAGAACAAGCAAGCTTGTCTCCCATTGGTGATCGTCGGCCTTCAACCAAGAAGGAGCTTAGGAAGTCATTTATCAAACGTAGCAAAAATCCTTCCATTAATGAGAAACTCCACAAAATTCGAATGCTGAATAGCACATTAAAGGTGAGGTCACAGAGTGGGGCCAAGGTTCCTTTCCTGAGAAGAAGAAACACTTTGGCCGAAAGGAGAAGCAAGCCTAGACTTCAGCAAATCTCTAATTACATATTTGTTTAAAGCTCCAGAGAATTTGATCTAGTTTTTGAAATTGTTTTCTACTTTATTCTGAACACCAAACTGTGTTTTGCTGTTAAATTTGAACTGAAAGCAGAGGCAGTAGTTCAGAAGGACTCTTTTTGCAGAAGTTGCAGCCCATTTGGAAAATTTAATAAAGAAAGCTCCTTTTATTTAGCTGGAAAATTTGCAAGCTCAGCTGAATGCACTAAATAGGAGAGCCTTAAAAAAGGAAGAACAGAAAAAGTATGTTAATAATAAAGGACAACAAAATGACCCTGAGCCAAAAAAGTTTTCCTTATGTGACTATTGGAGAATGCACAGGATGTACCAAAGCTATTGTAAAGATCTCCTGTAACTAAAACACTTTTAATAACAAAAGCATCCTGCTTTTATGTGGGAAATGTATCATGAACTGGAGGGAGAAGGGAGGGGTTCATGGAACGTTTCAAGGAAGGGCCAATAAATCTATCCGCAACATGGGGTTTAATGAGGCTGTTTACTTGCCAGCATCATGTTGGCTGTCATGGAATTTCAAATCCTGCTTCAGAGTAGTATTAAGGGAAACAGAAAAGTTAACCATAGCATTTAAATTGTAAATAGAAGAAAGAATAAAGGCAAAGTTGGGGCTTCACTTATTTCTTTTTTTGTTCACTAGAAGCAGGAACTGAGTAACTTATTTCAAAAGAGTGCATTTGGCTTCACGCGTTCTACTCTGGAGAAATACATGTAAAAACTTTTCCTATCAGCACAATCATTGATTTGATTATTAGTTGCAATGGAAGGCTTGGCTTTGGCATTCAGGCCTATGTTAAACTTCCTGAAGATACACCTGAAAAAACAAGTTGGACCATAAGAATTCTACCTATTGTAGGGCTTCCAGGCTCAGTATGAGAACTGGGTGAAATCTCTCCACGAATTTCCTCAGTGTTGATGAGTCCGAAGTGAAACATTGCTGAATGCTTATGTAGAAGAGTAATACTACAATAAAGTAAGCCCATCATATAGCAGAAAGTTAGTTAAGTAGTATCCCTATTTTATGGAATAGGAAACTAAATGTAGAAGCATACTGCAAGGTTTCCCCCAGTGGGAGCCTCCGTAATAAATCTAAGAACTAGTTAGTACAAAATGGGGTAGGATCTTGTGGGATAATCAGTTTCATCAGTATAGCACTGAACGGAAGCCTAAAAGCCTTTCTGTGGACATGAGCAAAAAGGAAAACTTTGCATTGATTTAACACAGGAATATTGTATGACTTGTGATTAGCAGTGTTTATAAGCTTAGGCTTGTCTAATGCTTGTATTAAATATGGAAAAATAATTTTGGAGTGTTCATAATACTGAGAATGTGTTTTTTTTTTTTTTACTTTCTTCAAACTAAAAATTGGAGTATTGACAAGACAAATATAGCACAGACGTTTTCTCACAGACACAAACAGAATTCTATGAACAGCAGTGTTTAGTTAGCCTGTCTGAAAGGCAAATGCTTGGAGTAGGGAAACTGCGTATTCTTTGCATCAGTGGGATTATATGCTTTTAAAATGTAACAAGAGACTGGAGATAACTGAAAATCATCTTCTGGAAATTTTGAAATCAGAAATTTTTCACTTAGTCCATATTTACTTTGCTTTGATTAAAACTCTCTTAGTCTAAGAAAGATGATTTATTCAAGACTCAGTGCAATCCTTATTTTAGACTTTTGACTCCACATGTTTAATAACAGATTAATGTTGCTGCCACAATATATCAATAGCAAAACATACTTTGGATGGTTTGGAAGAGCAGGAGGCTGTGCTCAAATGCAACACAGGTTTAGTGAACATGGGAAATGGGTTTAGTGCTAGAGAAAAATTCACAGCCTGACTTTACCACCATGTTTACCCATTTCAAATACTCTTCCCTCTCATCTTGTCCTCACCTCTTAAACTAACTGCATATATCTCTGCACCTATGCCAGAAGACTTCTTACCAAGGCTGGCACTGAGTCTTGGGGTAGGGTCTATGTAAACCAACAGTTTTATAAGATTTCCTGTTTCAGAAGTGGCTCAGGCATCATGGGGATTAGATTAGTTGAAATAATGGTTGAAGGGAACAGCTGACTTTGCAAATTCTACTGCCTACTAATCTTTATTTACTACTTCTCACTTCCTCACTCCCTTTTCTTAAATTTCCCTAATGTGGGTTGGGATATGGATGTGAGAGCAGCCTGTTGCTACTATCAGGAAGTGTCTTGAATTTGTGGGAGCGTTTTCAAGGCAGCTAATGGCGTAGAGCGTCCTTGGGCTGCGAGAAACTGGTGTCCTTAGGAGAAGATGGCAAGAACTATTCTGTTGCTTTCCTGCAGAGAGTGGGAGGATGGAGCCAGGCAAAATCAGTAGAGATTTATTAGTGCAGTTAACAAATTGTATCATCTAAGTGGGGCTTCTCTGTCCTGTGATCTACTGCCTGACAGATAATAATGCCTGGAAAAGCAAAAAGTTGCGTTGTGACAGAAAATGTGAAGACATCAAAGTTCTCAGTCTCCATCAGTGACTGTCCATGATCTGAGCTGCTGAGACTCTCTGATAGCTGAGACTAGATTTCTTAATAGAAGCTGGTGGTAGATTTATTAACATCCATATAAGCTCTAACGACCAGCGAGCTACACTGCCACGGCATGGATTATGTTCACAATTATTTTCTGTCCAACTCCTGGAGAAGAGACATTTATAATATAACCAGGGAACAGGTATTTTTTGAGAAAGTCAGGAGCGGGCTGAATTACAATAATAGATGGTTTTATGTCCATTTTCATATGAGTGCTAACTTTTTGTGAGATGGTATAACAACGTCCAATTTTCACATGACTTTTCTTTCACAAAGTTTTGCAAAGAATCTTTAAAAAAAGTCTGTGTGAAATCATAATCTTGCCTTCAGTTGGGAGAAATTTCTACTATGGACTTAATTTTGATAATGCCTATTATAAAAATGAGAACAAGTTACCAGCATGGATAACTGCTCATCTCCATGTGGCATGGTTCTGTAACGTTCCCAAGGTGTTTTCATTATGAACAATGAGCCTGGCAGATTTCTGTGAGAAGTAACCTCTTCTTCTCTTCCTAGTGTAAAGAACATGACCTGGCCACAATTAACCAGTTGCTAGAGGACCCAAAGTTGACGGCAATGAAGTATAGAGAGTGGAAGAACACAAACATCATGCTGGTTCAAGATATCTATCACCAGCAGGATGCCCAGGATGTATCCACAGAGAACAGCGAGGAGCAAGAGATGACTCCACCATCTATTGCTGAAAGTGCTATCTGAGCCTGTGGATCTGTGGCGCACAGCAAGATTTCCGCCCCCGGTCTTCACGTACACGCACTTTAAACTGCTGTGTTCTGAGGTTTGTTTTTTCCAAGTGTTCTTCATACGGAGAAGAACCCCTTCTCCAAAGCTTTAATTCCTCTTAACAACAACTTACTTCATATCGAAAGAGTGAATCCCCCAATTTAAAAAAAGCACGTCTGTATCTGAAACGTGTATCTAAGAAGAATATTATCTGAAGCGGGGAAGAAATGTTCTTCCATCTTGGGAGAAGTAAATTGAATATATGCGGCTCCTGGAATTCACAGAGGCATCTATGAACTGCATAGATGTCAGATGCTTGAGGTCATTTTAACCACGTAACTTACTGATAGAGGAAGCTACAATAATGCCAATAGGATACAATCTACTCTGTACTTTTTGACCCTGCCTGCAAGGTAACCCGAAATAAGTGTTTTAATCTCTACATTCCTTCACTTTGACTGATTTACCAGTTTAAACTGAGACAAGTAGAACAGTCATTATGCATGAGTCTATACTACAGACAATTGTCAGGCACCCAGTCTGTGCCCTGCCTGACATCTTAAGAGTTTCACATTTATTTATGGACCAGACCAAAGTACTGTCTTTCTACATCAAGAGGAGAATGTCCCTGAGTATGTCTGGAGACACACAAATTACTCTTTAATGTGGCAAATGATGTTTTAACAAGTTTCAACTTTTCTTATGGACATGGCAGAACTTCCCTGAGGACTATTTGCTTCTTACATATTTTTGACAGTACTGAATATATAAGGTACAAGTTCATCCCAAATTCCTAATTAGCAAAGTGATAAAGTCCCCTAAGCAGAAGCTAAATCCTTGAACTCCTGCTGCAGAACTGAAGTGTAAAATATAACTGCAAATATTTTTGTACATACATGTTATTTTATGGCTTATATGAGTGTGACCATGTACTGTATATATGTTCTATTTATATATTTATATATGCTGAATTTGCTAATGTAGATAGGAACATATGGACCACAGCCACCCAGATGAGAGTGCTTACATGTTGACTTGAACTGAAATGCCTCCTTGTTCTTTGTACTATTATTCATTTAAGTATGAATCACAGTAATGGCTCTATAACTGAGACTGTACTGGGACTTTTACTGTAACTTTTCCTTGTTTCTTTCAATCTAACTTTGAAATTTGAAGAATATCTGTATAATTTCAGGTAGGAAAATATATTTTCCAGAAAATGTCATAATCCCACACTGGACAAAAAAAAAAATGAGTACGTTAAGAAATTTTGCTACAGGCTTATAATTTTTTGGCCTCGCTGTCCTCAACACAAGGTTTGTTTTTCCCTTCCCATCTTAAGTGTGTGTTCAAGTATGAGAAACTTTGCGGAGTGCTGAATTTTGAAAAATAAGAATTAGCCCACCATTCTCAAATTAATTAGTTCACCAGAACTGTGAGAATTTGCAGTTCTGTTGGCTATTTTGTAAAGATACTCTTTGTCATTAGTTTTTAATACATCTTACCTTTTAAAGCAAAATACACAATACACACATAAAAACATATTCCCTTGCATGGTGTATTTATTATAGTTTTGATTAAGAAAGCAAATGTTAATAGTCTTTTTAGGAACAGATGATTTTTTTTTCCTCCTGCTTCGCAATAAGTCTGATTTGGATGTTGCATTTTTAACACTCGGCAACTAGCCCTTTCAAATAGAGACATAGAATTATGTTCCGATGCATCCAAAAATGCCAATTAGGGCTGAGCTGAGTGTAGGGACTGGAATGTGGGTGGTAAGCTATAAGGAAGGGGAAATAGAAAGAAGAACATAGGCTTCTTTGATACGGGCTTTAATGGGGAAGGGGGAATGGACACAGAAGATGGGGGCCGGTTGAATGCAGAAGCACGGCTGCGCTAGGTTTATCATCACTGCTTCTGGTGTGAAAGGGTTTAGGAGTGTCAGGGTTAGGACTAATACTGGGTTATGGCTAGTCTGCTGGCGTGGAACAAAAGCTGAGTGAGACTTGAAAGCGGGTGATAGTGACTAAATAGAAAAGCAGACAAAAAGCCAAGTTGGTTAAAAAGCTAATGTTTCCAGGAAATCATCATGTGTTTGGTGAATTCATAATTTCAGCAATTCAAACTAGAAGTTGATGGAAATTAAGAAAGCTCAAGAGCTGGTGGAATTTGGTTTTCAGTAATGCCTTGTTAAAAAATTGAACCCGTTTGAAGGTCTTTTATCTTCCACCATTCCCAGAGGCCCCTCTGGACAGCGGGTGTCTGCGAGCATTCAGCTCCCACATCGAATTCTTGAAAGCAGCTGCGCAGATGGAGAGGGATGGCCTGTGAATTTGGCATGTTGATTAACTGTTTAGCACACATTAAAAGATACGAGTGTAGGGATGAATCTGCTTTGTCCATCTCAATTTTACGTAGATGGTGCTAAATAACTGATAAATAATGGAGGTCCAATTATATGCACACTTTGCTTTTTCCCTTGCAAGTGCAGATCATTCTGTTTCTCATGAAACAAAGCAAGTAAACACAATTCTTTTGAAAAAGCATCTTCTCTGCTTAGACCTTAAAACAAGCACTTGCTTAAGTGCTCTGTTGAATAAGGCCGGACTAGTCAGTGCCTTGCAGTTCTGAGCAAGTCCTCATTGACTTCCTTTGTTGAAGTAAATGTGCGTTATACACGGGAACACAGTGTGGCCTGTATGTACTGTCTAGACTCTTGTACACGCCGTGTTTACGTTAGCATATAGAACTGTGAGAGCAGTTTTGCCAAATACAGAGTTGGGTTATCCAAACTCTGCTATTGATTTTGTCGACATCACGTAGCCTAGAATAGTTTTTGAATTGTTCCCTTTCAGCTGGTCAGTACGTTATCACTGTTGAACTACTGACTCTTGGTAAACCTGCTGAGGATGAGTCATATCACCCATCTCAGGAAAGAACAGAGAATTCTTTAATTGGATTCCTTGAAGTCAGTTATCGCAGCGAATTCATGCGTGTGTGAGAAAACAAATGTATGCTTTTTCTGTGAGTGCATCCTGGCAGTCGATCTCCTTTTCCTTCAGCTACTTTTTAGACTCAGAACAAATGGAAAGCCTGGGTAATGTGAACCAAAAATGACATTAAAATCAGATTTTTTTTCCCAACATTCTTAATTAATATGACAGTTTTCACCTGATGCTGGATTCACCACAAGGGGCTACACAGTAATGAAAGCAACTGAAGACACAATCAGAGAATGAATCTTGTGTAAGCAGACAGCTACAACTAGTGGATGCACTGGTGAACCAAATCAGCTGGAGAAACTTTGACAACTGTGTGCTTTACTTAAAGATACTTAGGGTAAACGATATTTGTGTATAGATTTGATTGCTGTGAATTTAGAAGGCCAGCGTTAGTGAAATAAGGAATAGGAAAGTTGTGCGCCCCTAATGAATATCCAAAAATATTTAACCATCTGTTAAATCCGTCAACAATAATGAGACTTGTTTCATGCATTTTTCAGGAGAAAGTGTGTATGCGCATGCCCATGCATACACACACAATTATTCCTTTCTCTGTAAAGCCTATTTGCATTAGTGCAGTAAGTCCAGCTATGCAGATTTTGGAGTAACTAATTACAATATCTAATTTCAGCTGGTTTTGCAGCCTGTCTCTGGCGGCTTTTCTGGAAATCAAATCTCTCTCTATTTTGATGGTGCAGATCTCATGAGCTACCAAAATTACATGGGATCACATTTCCTTTCCTAAGATGGGAAAGTTTTCAGGCTGGGTTAGTGTAGTGTTTCTTCATCTAACTCTAATGATTTACTCAATACTAGATTTCATTTGAAATGGGAATAAATGATGTGCTACAACCCTTTTTTTGCAGATGATTTTTTTTGGAGGAAAATTTTATCTGTTTTGAGGTAGTGAGTGAGGAAGGGGGAGAAAAGAAGTGGTATTGATTTAAAAATATGTAGAATTTTGAAATTTAGAATGATTTATAACTAGAAAAGATTATGGGCATACTGAGTCTATTGTGTAAGTGCATGAGCTTACATGTCTGTAATAGATTTAATATAAAAACTTATTTTTTTAATCTCTTAAGATAGTAAGGAAATGACTTCTTTGTGAGGAATGTGAGGAACCCTGTAGTGTAGTGGGAATTTGTTTTTGTTTTTGTTTTTGCTTGTTTGGTGGAACAGGACCAACCAATTGCAATGAGAGTCCGAGTTTACTTCATTTAGGTGAGAGATGTCATTCTGTTAACAGGAAGCCCAAGTGGTTTTCTTGTACGAGTAGAGCAAAAGTGGTATTTCCTGTTTTGTGTGGAGCATTTAGAACAGCAGACATTTTGAGATGTACATCACAGGATCCCTGAGTGCTTAAAAACCTATCCCAATTTGGTCTCCTCCAAGCTGCCACATGTAGAATTGTTTCATTTTTAAGAACTAGCTTTTCTATTAACAAAAGCAAAAAAAAAAAAAAAAGTAGGGGGAGGGGAACTTTGTGAAGAAAAGCAGAATAGAAAACGTGTGATTAGGTTGGAATTCTTGTCTCCCTGCATATGGGTAGTGGGAGCCAAGCTTGCAAAAGTGAGGCATTTCCACACTCTGAAAAAGACGGTAATTTAGGTTTGGGGAGAGTACTAAATTTCTTGCAATTTGCCATGGGAGAAGAAGTTCGAAAACCTGTCTGCTCTGGGAAAATGAAAATGTTCCTGTTTGATTTCCTCACGGTAAAAATCCAAAGAGAGTGGCTTGTGAGTTGGCAGAAAGTTAAAAATGAAACACGCATGTAAGTCTTTGATAGTTCATCAGTCTCAATGCATTACCGTGAAATGATTGGCTTTGGATGACTCAGCCTTTAACACTGAAAATCCATTTCTTTGGGAAGCCATTCCAGCTAGCACAATGTCTGAGGCTTCTGCATACCCTCTGGCCCATACAAGGTCCTTTTTGAGGATGCAGCTTGGTGTATTGCCTCCACTTTTATAGGGCAAATAGCATACATCATTAGACAGTAGTTTAGGACGCCATTCAATCCTAATCTTTCCTATGTCTTAGATGTCTTTGAACCCACACAAATTATTCTGACTCTTGAACTTATGACTGCCTTACCTTTTCCCACCTAAAGATAAAGAGGATATGAAAACATGTGTCTCCTACATTGATGTGATGATAAATTAGCACTGATCTTGCAAAGACTCAGGTAAATCACTTTGTTCATGAACATTCAGCAGAATAACTCATATGATGAAATGTCATATGTGCATAATAATCACACAGTGATCTTGTGCAAAACTTTCAAAGGCGAAGACTGGGCAGAAAAGAGAAACAGGGTGTCTATACCATTATCGTCCGTGTAGACAGGGAAAG